AAAACAATACATGTATACTTCCCAGACTCTATTAAGAAACGCCCCCGTCGCCCGAAGAACTATATGCAAACAAGATGTTTTCAGACAAGCAAATCGTCAAATCCGAATCCTGGAATGAAATGTGGTTTCAGGATTGAAGTCGTCACCTCACTTTTCATTATTACTGTCGGGATTTTAACCCGGGTCTCCCATATAAAATGACTCGAAGTGGGGATACTTGATCTGTACTACAGTACATGAAATAGTTAAGTATGACAACGCACCTTTCCATCCCCCACACCCTTAGTCTTTGGCCTAGGTATTCGTTGGATGTTTTCAGGGTCGGTGTCCGCGTGCGAACTCAACCCGTCAAACGCGGGTCCTAACCGAGACCTTGGGTGTTCAACTCTTGATATCACAATCCAAAGTTGTCGGTAGTCCTGCCCGAAGCCTAATACAGGAGGACAACGGTCTCCATCATGACCCACCACAGTCCTGCTGATAAGGCCGGAGCTGCGGCCCACTGTGTTGTTATATTAACAATGGTTCCCGTATTGGTTACGCAATAACGGGTAAATCCTCCTATCCTGGGTTTTACCCAGTTTCTAGACCTGACTCTCGACCCCTCCAGTAACTACCTGAGTTGATTCCCTCACTAGGGCGGCCGCCCTTCAGGTCTCAACTCTAGGCCAAAACCAGAAGGTCCGCTGCCTGGTTATACTGGGTCAGCAACCAACGCTGGGAGTTACATCCCAACGATGCCAATTTTCCACCATAGGCTTGGTAATTTATGCCCTCAGGTTAACCCTTGAAGTGGATGAACGATGCTTCTTTTAAATAAACCAATTGAGCAATCGTCAGGCTGCCACTCAGGGTTGCGCCCTGGAAGTCTTTGATCATAGCTCGGTGAGGCACACACCTCGGGGTCATTTTGTATATACATAAAAACCATTATTTTTTTTTTTATAAATAAATATTTGTTGACTCTTTGCTTGTCCGAAATCAAGAAGAAAAACATCACTTTCATAATGATTGCAAAAGAATTTTGCAAAGGAATTGATAGGACTCAAAGGAGTTTATCCATGTCTGAGTATTAAGACAAGTTGCCCCAAAAGGATTACCCCCTTTTGACGGCAGTTATCAAAATCGAACCACATTCCATCATCCTGATCGATATCACTGTCGAAGGAACATGTCACATGCAACTCGTTACTGTACGCAGGGTTTTCCCCCTGTTTTCACAAAACTTTACAATACAAGTGTAAGTGACATTCTCCTGCCAAAGGAATTTTACTCAAGATAGTAGAAAAAACGTTTGAGACTGTAAGGAAAATAAATCATAATTCATACAATACCAAAACAATCAGTCATACTAATTTAAACAAACAACAACTGGTAACTTCGTTAACAATGAGAACAACTGTTACAATTGAGACTGCACGAGAACAAAATCACAACGAAGTTACAATGACAATGATAACGATGACATAAAATATACTACTCCTTCAGGCTTAAAAGGGGTATATTGTGCCGAGGGGTGGTGTAATCCGATTAAAGGATAACATCCCACATCCCAAGCCCCGCTTCTAGGACTGAGCCTCACCACATCTCCCTCCAATTCCGATGTTGCGACCCCATCAAATCGACTACTTAATAGAGTAGGACAATCTCACCTCTCATAACCGCGGTTACTGAGACCTCGACTAGGAAGGTGAGATGACTCTGCTCGACACGCGGTTAGGTCACTACTCCTTCCCTTGTGGCGAACAACAGTCGCCTTTTCTATAAGCAGCGTCTTGATACAATCACAACACCTTCCTCCCTTTCAACGGTAAGGTAGTCATATTTCCTGTATAAGGAAAAATGACAACACCCCACTATGGACCAAAAACATTGTTCCGGCGTGAGTCTCACTACCGTCTACAAGACTTAACTATACCATCTTCAAACCTCTCAGACAAATGTATCAATCAACGTTGCAATCCCTCAAAAGGACAGGTTCTGCATGCTGACCTCCCTTGAGAGAATTTCTTCCCTTCAAAGGTTGGTCACTCCATTCACCTCCGGCCCCATGCCGAACGTGGATTTCACACAATTTGTCTATCCTTATTGAGGAGAGCAATTCATACACATATCTAGTCAGGCGCAAACAGTCACCAATCAATCAGTAAATATATACACAATTTCAAAATTCATTTAACCAAGAACAAAACATACAATAATACGTTACTCGAAACATATATCACTCATCTCTCACATACATTCCTTCATACCCATTCATACACATTTACCATAGTGATAATAATACCGTAACTCAAAGAGTTGGATAGCTCTTAAGCGAACACTCTCATACTTTGATTATATTGGGTATAGTATTAAAGGAAGTAAATACTCTCATACGCATTCTTTTTACATGATGCAATTTCCAATGACTAATTAATTGATAAGCCTAGACTATTTCCCGTAAGGACTCCTAAAGTTCATTCACTATCATACTCTATATATACTACCTCAAACAGATGCCTACTTTTCAAGTAGATGACCTAGTATCATGCTCACTATACTACGCGTCCCTAAGGATTGAGTGGGTGATAAAACAATTAATAAATACCTTACGATCTTCTCAAGTCTCAGCGTGTATCATAGGCCTACTTGACACGATACTGACCCAATCAACCCCTCGACTTTTTTCGGCCTGAGGGTATTGCTACTAATCCTAACCATCACAGTGCGCGTCAAGACAACGCGTGAACAGACTCTCAAAATTTTCTCACCGATTCGCCTAGGCCTCAATGGCCGAGGAAATCGTTTCAATTGTCACGCCAAAGCGTGCACACCCATTTCATCTCAGATTGGCTCCATCATGGTAGTCGACGCCGTCACCATGTCAAATGCAAAAGCATGCCGACACCAATATGACGACATGGTTGCTTACCAGGAAGCGGCTGTTAAGCGACTGATTGTTGCGTTCAGGGCGACGGTTGAAATAGGGAACGCGATGGATGGAGGATGCATAAGTCAGGACCGTTTGTCCCGTGTTGCGGAGAGCTTCAAGGTCCTTTTGGCAGCTGCCATGTGGATAATGCGATTGGCGGGAGACGATCCGAGGTCTCACCACGAACCTTTCTACTTCTGCAACCTCGTCGCGAAGCCCGTTATGGTGGCGTCCATGCACCGCATCTTCGATCATCGTCGCCACACATTGGCCGCCGCGAACGCCACAACCGAGCGACTGGGGAAAGCGCAGTTGACGTTGGGCCACACGCCCAATTTCATCCCGGACTGGGCTAAGTGCGGGGTGAAATTCGGCCATGACGTAAGTTTGAGTGGACCCGACGAGGCGAGAGGGCTTGAATGGTTGGGCACAGGCCCTCCGGCGTGCGAGGACGACGACGACGATGATGATGATGCCGAAGACAGTTGAACGCCACGCGGGAGGAGGAGGACGACGACTGAGACGACGATGGTGTGCGTCGGCGGGGGGTGGGGCTTTCGTAGCAGCCTAGACACTGAGGCCTCATCACGCGGCGATAACGACAAAGGTGCTGCACAATCACGACAGGGACGATAGCGACGCGTGCTGATGGCGCCATGGGGACGTCGGTTCGGGCGAGTACGGCACGACTGCGGCGCGCGGCAGAGGGAGACCTTGAAGACAAGAACAACGCACGTCAAGTACATGTGCAGGCAGTCTGTGGAAGAGGATGCCCACGCGTGATGATGCCCCATTCGACAACGCTACCCACACAATGATGGTCGCGCCGCTGCGGAAGAGGTTGCTATCGGTAATGATGATGACGACGCGATGATGACGACGATGACGACGATGACGACGATGATGATGATGATGACGACGATGGCGAGGATGATGATGATGATGATGATGATGGTGATAATGACGTCGATGGCTATTGTGATGATGATGATGATGATGATGATGATGATGATAATGATGACCCGTCGGAGGTGGCGCGGGCAAGGCACTTTTTTGTGTTTGTTTTTGGTCGAGCAGGGCGCTGCTCGACGTTGTAAATACAGTGGACTCGGAAGAGCGATCGGTTCAGCAGGGGTCTTTTCGTGTTATTGCAGGTATCTGCTTCTGCTTGACGTTTTTTTTTTTTTTTTTTTTTGCAAGGCGACATCTGTTCGCGCGATGGCGGATGACGTGCTTTGGTTTAGCAGTGGTCTTTGCGGAAGGCATGTATTCCGCAATTATCAGTGCACGTTCAATCTTCCGACGCTGTCTTCGTGATCATTTGGGAACAATACCATCCAGAAGCCATGTCGATGCGATATGTGTTCTTTGTTGCTACGATGCATTTTGAATGCGATGTTCTTTTCTCACGAATGGGTTGTGCTTTGTTTGCCATCTTTCATGTCATGCTTCTTTTGCATGTATTATATTCTATCCTCTTTTCCGTTGGTTTCCAAATGCATGTACATGAAAGGAAAACCCAAATCGTCTTTTTTTTTTTTTTTTTTTTTTTTTTTTTTT